ATCGGTCACTGCACGTGCCGTTCATGTGTAGTGCACTAGATCGGTCATTCTACGTGCCGTTCATGTGCAGTGCACTAGATTGGTCACTCTGCGTGCCGTTCATGTGCAATCAAAAGTTACTCGATGACGGAAGGAAAAACGCACGAGCCCCTCCCTCTCTCTCTCCAAGTTTGGGAGTTCATTAAAATGCATGTGAAAAAATGTAAACCAAGGAAAATTACGATAGTTGTGCACAAATCAGTGAAATGAGAACGTGCTAATTTGTACTTACTTGTTTAAACGTGCTTGTTTTCGCTGACGCATGTGACCTGTCAAGATCGTTGTTTGTGCCAATTTTGAGCTGTGCTCCCTCCTCCTTACGTGAAATTATACGTACGCGCCTAAGGACAGAGAGTTTTGCTTTTCCCACATTCGTACTGTACAGCTGTGCAACAGCCCGAATGCTTTAACGCATTTTTACATTCGTACAAAAAACAACATGAAATTCGTGCTGAACCGTAGCGTAATAAATAGCGTCTTTCGATGCGATGAGCGATGTCAGGACCGGTTTTATCGCACTCTGGTTGAGCGTCATAAACTACCCTTCGAGAGCAGCTTGGAGCACCCCGAGCAGCCTACAGAATGAACATGATCAGTCAACGATATTGTCGGCCACGGCCTGCGTTGGTGCCCATTAGCGACCTCGGCGACTCAAAGGTATTGGGTTGCGCCGAGGGGTTTCCCTCTTGCTGAGCGCAGGCGCCCTCCAGTTGGCTGTTCTCCCACGCAAGTATTATGCTGCTCAGCGGACTAAGTCCTCATCGAACGACCGCTCTCTGCGGCGTGAGACGAGGCAGCTTGTAACGCGACTGGTGGCCAAGCTCTTCGCGAGATGATGCAATTATTAGTGGATACCGCTGCAAGTTGGAGTAAATTGAGCTCGGCAAACGGCATGGCAATAACTTCAGGACAAGCTGGCCCACCCAACCAAGGCAGTAGTGTTTGGTGTTAATTCACATCCATCGCATAGACTGTATACGATGTCCGGTGCTTCATCCTCCTCCCAGGAGATGTCGCACTCCTCCAGGAATCAGAAACTAAGCGCCCATTAACCAGATAACTTGTGCAATGGCCTGGGATTCTTCGGCACCTCAGATGAGCATGAATAATGTATTCATCTGCCGCTCGGTTTTTGTCCTTGGGATCAAAGGTTAACTTGGAAACGGGGACGGGGAGGGGGATGGGAATTATCGACGCCATCAGCACTGAGCGTTACCGTTCTAATGAATCTCGAATTCACGATCTAGCCGTTGTATCTATTTCCTCGAATGCAACTGTCAGGGCTGTCATCCGTTCCGTGATTACAGTTGTCATCAGTGCTTCGTTGCTTTCGGGAATATGTGCGCGATATCTGGAGAAATATACTTTTTCCTCGGCAGCAAGGGCATTATTTTTATTAGCAGCGAGGAAAGTCCTGCGATCATGTCCGCTAAAGACCTCCCCTGCCTTCGGCAGCACAAGAAGCGAAGGGGACATTAATGTGGTCTATTTTTCCAAAATTAACACATTGTGTGGCGATGAAGCGTCAAAGAAAACTTTCTGGATCTTTTAGGGCGTGTTACTGTCTGCCAGTGTGGCATAATTCACTGTTACGTTAACTTTTGCAGTGGACCCAACGTGGTGCCAGCTGTTAATACTGTAATCTGTCGGACAGCGAATCTCATTTCCTTGCACACATCCGGTGATATACGCCAGTGCATGCTGCTTTCACGTTTGAAGGAAGGAGTGGTGCTTTCTCTGCCCTGCCCCGCTTGCGCATAAGCATTTATTCACGTTGCATTGCCTTTTTACTACATGCCCATTTTTCAGAAGCTATTAAATCATCTGAGCATGGTCTCATAATATGCCCCATATTACAGACTATTTACCGTCCGCTACCACGACTTTACGTATAGGCTGAAACACCTATAATATCATACGAGGCATGCTTCTTATTGTGACTTATGACCGAAGGCACCGGACTAGACAATGTGCAAAAATCCAACAAGACACCGACACCTATCGCTTGCGGAGATAGCGATGCAGCACAATATACTATCTTTCAGCGCTCGGTATCTACTGTCAGAAGGAGCCGCGTCCAGCGTGACGACTTTATCACCGTGTACATTATATCGTAGGCAATATTGCCAGAAGCAGCAGTAATAAACAACAAGGCTTTGCCTTCACTACACGGGCATGCTTTGACCAGTGATTCTCTTCTAGCATGAGAGGAGAGACCGAGGCTTGAGTGCCACTGGAATGTTGCAGGTATCGTGAGCACTGGGACTTTAACTGCCCTATAAGTGCCGTCTAAGGCACAGGAGGGAATCCGAGCCTCAAGGTCGTGACATGTAGGTGGTGTGGCGGGATGCTTGCTCTAATGAAAACCGAAGGGAGATTCCTGATCCACGCATCTCCACGATGTTCGTTAAAAATTTATCGAACGGCTCGCCTGCTCCAATATAAAGTCCCGGCCCTCTGGATAAAGCGCGCAGTCAATCCTGCCTGCGATGTTCTCTGTGTAGCACTTACTGTGAAGCCCAGCATGGCGTGTGGTGCAGCGTCTACCTTCACCTGGACAGCAAGCTTCCGACAATGAACATCGACGCCAGCGTCCACCACCCTGGAAGTTGTCTTCTCCAAAACAACTACACGAAAACATGCCATCATGTAATTACAACAAGGTTTAGCCAGTAAAAAAGCGTGCATATCTCCGCGGGCGTGTGGCTCAGAAGCTACAGGGTTTTGGTTCTGAAAAGGACAGGGCTGTTTAATGCATCGAATGAGATTCAAAATGAGTATTTCAATTCAAATCCACGTACAAATGTAGAACAGTCCTTTCAATAGTGCAATTATGTAGTCTAGGGCAGTCCTTTGCACCAAAAAGTATACTTATAGTCACAAGCTAGCTTATTTCGTCATATCTAATGAATGTCTCGATACATTTAACTGTGGAACACCCCTCTTTCACCTTTGTGGTAGGTACTTACCGATTTGACTGCAAAGGGAAGTGTTCCACATTGGAAGTTATTGACGCAGGTGGCATCATGCAAAATCGCGTTGTTGAAGAGAAAGTTTCGCATTTCAAGACATCAAATAGAGTGTTCCACATTTATGTGAGGTTTTAAACTGCAACTGCCATCTTGAAGACCGTTTGGTGTTTTTCACAATCATGTCCTTCTTAAGACCAAAGTCCCTGTAGATTTCAGCTAGGCGCCCTCCGAAATGGGGAAAGGTTTATCGGGGAGAGTATTTCAAAGTCACCTTGACATCCATGACGTCATAATAACGTCATTTAAATCATGCCATTCTATAAGCCATACGGCGGTCAGCGCCAAGAAAAATACAACTGTCGAAACGTTCATATCTAGCGCACGTCAGAGCCATTTTCAGATATAACGGCCGTTAATTGGCTCTCAATATATGTGGTGCAAGGTAAGATGACATAAGCAAACTATGGCGCCTTGAGAGCCATTTTTACTCAACAGATAATTGTGTTGTCTAGGACAGTCTCTTCCACCTTAAAAGTATGCCAATGGCTAGAAGTGAGCTTGTTTCATCATATCTCATGCTTGTTTCAATATCTTCAAATGCGAAGCATCCCCTTTACAGGAAACATCAGATATGATGAAACAAGCTCACTTAGAACTATTGATGTACTTTTAGGTGGAAAAAGGCTCTAGACAATGCAATTTCTTTGTTTAGGAAATATGCTTTTCGACATGGCATTGTTTGATTACGTCGTCGCACCTTGCACAACATTTTTTGAGAACCCATTGACGGCTGTTTTGTTCGGAAACTCAGCTCACAAATGCCGGATATGAGCGAATCTACCATTATATTTTTATTATCCTTGATCGCCGCGTGGCTTATGAAATGACAGGATTTGAATGCCCTTATTATAAAGTCATGAATCCCAAGGTGACCTTGAAATGTTCTCCCCGAAATAGTCTCACCATGTTCGTGGGCCTGTAACTCGGAAACTAGCCGAGTTAAAGTTTAAAATGAGCAGGCCTGTGAATCAAATGATCTTCAAAATGGCTATTTTAGTTTAAATCCCATGTAAATGTGAAACACTCCCGTTAAGGCTTCACTTGAGCCATCCATTGGTGAGAAAAAAAGTTTCCAAGCAGTCCTGACGGCCTCCGGTCATCGCACATGGAACTAGCTCTACCCCTTTGTCAAGCTGGTATCGTTGGTTTACAGGGGGATTGCCATGTGTCCTTCACACCGCAGGGTGATATGAGGTTTCACCGCCTCCGTGTGACGTCAACACCTGTCCCAAAGCCAACGTGACTCTTCGTGTGACGTCACGCGAAGATTCCGCAAACAGTGCCGGCGCCGTGTCGGACCACACCGACATGTCGCGATGCCACAGCGTGATCACACGTCGGCGTCGCGTGATCGCATCGTCATCGCCCCCCCCCCCCGCCATGGCCATCTCGTCATCGCGTCACCACGTCATCGGACCATCCATCACGTCACCGTGCCATGACGTCATCGCGTCATCGTCATTGCGTCATTGTCATGTCAAAGTGCCATCGTTCCATCGAGTCATTACGCCATAGCGTTATCGCCGCCGCGCCATCGTAATTATGCCCACCAGCCGAGTTGTTTGCATTGACCTCACTCAGGAGCCGTCCGTACATGATGTCACAGCTGTTTCCTGCAGTGACGTCACAATGCTCCCAACGGTGACGCCACTGCTGTGCTCGGCAGGGTGTGCCAGGCCTGTGTATATGGTGGTCATACACAAGACACATTGTGTCTTCGCATCATCATGGCGTCGTTTGCCGCCGCCTGGATCAGGCGCGGGCACGGCCCGTGTGTGACGTTGCAGCTGCGCTCGGCGCGGTGATGTGTGTGTGTGTGTGTGTGTGTGTGTGTGTGTGTGTGTGTGTGTGTGTGTGTGTGTGTGTGTGTGTGTGTGTGTGTGTGTGTGTGTGTTTGTGCGTGTGTGACGTCACTCTCGCTTCCTGCAGTGCGTGTCGGTGCCTGGCCTGGGTTTCCGGCGCGGCAGCTACAAGTGCGCGTGTCTGGACGGCTTCTACTTCCCGGAGCCGGGCCCGCTGCGTTTCTACAACGGCTCCGTCATCGAGGACGAGTACGAAAAGAAGCTGCAGGTGGGCATGACGTCACCGGACCTGAGCTACTGTCTGACGCGGAGGGCTCGTTAGCTCGGGCGTCTCCAGCCAGCGCCAGCTCACGGCATGCGTAAATGATCGGGTTCATGCGCGGATAATCCAGCATATTTGGTGCAAGATGCAGTACTATCTATGACAATAAATATGGTTTCTTATTAATTATGTCGCTCCTCATGTACCGAGGCTGTTCTACGTCAAACTAATGGATCCCATGGCGCTGTGCCACATTGTCTCATCAACAACATGACTAACGCGATTTGTCAGAGCTTCTCTCAAGTTCTAAATCACTTTGGTCTTCCGAAAAACTGCGTTAAATCCTTAAAACGGTCCACTTTCTCCTGCCATTGAACCCTATGGGAGGATGATGATTACTGGAATGTAGCACGGCATATGCTGACCACCTAAAACATGGCAGCACTCTCGGCCAGGAGGCTATGGTGAGGTCAGCTGAAAGAAAGCAAAATTGGTCATGTTCTTGTTGTTTCAGGTATGCTCGAGATGATAATTCTAGGGAACTTATCGTGAAGGAACATTGTTGGCAAGGTCCAATATTGATAATGTGTGTAACACTCTGGGCCAGTGCCCTGACTAGCTAGGGACTGAGCTGTATTGCGCACACGTATAAATGGTGCCGATTCCGCTGCTACACACGCGCTTTATTTTTCATCGACAACAGTTATAAATGCTTGATGGGACAGTGACAAATGACACCATTCATGAACAAACCAATGGCAAAGGTAGGAAAGCTGTCTACTGGATGGTTTTAATGTTTTTTGTGTTGTTTTTTATTCCCCGTTCTCCTTTGTTTCTTATTACTCTTATGTTGGGGGATCATCCACTTATATGGACTATCAAATCTTTATTTAAACGGGATCTGACTCTCACGAACATGGTCCGCAACAGCCGCCAGCGCAAAACTAAACAATGCACATAGCTGAGCAACAGGGTCACGGCTTAAGCTATACTCGGGAATGCAAATGGTGGAAAAGGAGTCCTTTGCAAGCATACGAATAAAGGGGTAGGTATTTTATTACCAGGGGTATACACCAGCAGCAACATGAAACAGTAGCGCATGGTGTTCATCGTTTGTTTTCCCTTACGAGGCTTGCGTTCATGTAGGTAGTAAGCATGCGGCTGGCAAGGTAGTCAAAATCAGCAATTGAAAATCAATGAAATAAGACCAAATTAATTGATATTAAAACAGCTATTGCCAATTAGCCATTCACTGCAAAAACGTCAGGCTTTAGAGGGATTTTTCACGTTTGAAGATGTTGAAGTATATTAGATATGATTAGATAAGGTCACTGATAATCATTGGTATGCTTTTGAGTGGGAAAGACTGCTCTAAACAACACAATGTCTCTGTTCAATAAGTATCTCCTCAATTTGTCATCATTTGATTACGTCATCGTACCTTGCACGACAGTGATGAAGAGCCAATTGACGGCTGTTTTATCTGGAAATCGTGCTCACGAACGCCAGATATGAACGACTACACATTATAGGTGTATTTGTTTTGACCACTGCTTGCCTTATGTAATGGTAGAATTTGAAAGAGGTTATCATGGCGTCATGGATGCCTAAGTAAAGTTGAAAAAGTCTACCCGAAATGGGCCCCACATTTTCGCGGGTGTGTGGCTCAAACATTATAGCGGCTTAGGTCTTACGAAGGTCAGGACTGTGAACTAAACTTTATGATCTTCAAGACGGCTATTTCAGTTCGAAACCCCAAACAGATGTGAAATACTCACTCTAACGCGCGTTCGGGTGGGGAGGGGAGGGGTCAAATTGACCTCTCGAAGGGTTTTCCGGAATGGTTTCCGAACGGCGCGGCGTACCCGCGCCAAATTTTGCATAGCTGTAGGCAATTGAACAACGGATCGTCCGGCATGAAAAATTTGGATGCGCTTTGTAAGGTCTCTGACTTAAGGCAGGTTAAAACCAGGCCAATGGTTTCAGGGAAGGCAATTTCTAGGCAATTGTTCAATGTGATCCAACAATGGAGTGTTAAACGAAGCCATACATGTCTGAGATACGTTCGTGGGCAACACAGCAATTGAACAAACAAATTACATTGACCTAAGGTCAGGTATAAAGGTCAGACCAAGGTTAAAACCAACCTGTTTTATTACTTTAGTGCTTGCTGTATGGGGTAGCTCCTGGTGCTCATTTCGAATATATTGATAACAGGGACCACATTATACACCTTCCATAGAGTTCTTAAAGGTCACAACAGGTCATTGATCTAGAATGACCCAGGTCAACATTTTGTTTTTAGGAACAGATTGCCTAGCGTAATCTTTGTCGCTTATCCAAATGCAAAACTCAAAGCGATCTTGCATAATTCTGGTCACCATGACCTTCAAAAGGTCAAGCAAGGCCACTGACTTTCGATGAGCGTGTGATGTTTTGCTGAGAACAGTTATTTAGGTGCTAGGAGCCTTTTGGAGACCAACCTGGAATTTGGCTTTGACCTTATTTGACCCAAAGGTCATCATGACCTATGAATCTCAAACTTTGCCCTAAGTGATTTCACCCACAGGTCAACATACTCTCTGAATTTGATGTTTCTAGCTCTCTTAGTTCCTGAGATCTCAGGGGGGTCAAATTGAGTCCCCCACCCGAGCGGCGGGTACCCAACCGGCCACCCGTTCGCGTGTTAACGCTCGCTCTGATACTGGAAGTGTCGATTAACGCTCGACAACGCGTCGTGTTAACGCTCGCTCTGGAAGTGTCGATGCGACCCTTCCTTGTAGTTTTCTCAGGATGCCTGTCCTGAAAGTCGTGCAATCACGTCCAACTTTCATTAGATTACGGACCATTTAGTACACGTGCTTTGACACCAAAAGCGTGTCCCTAGCATTTCTCGTCTCGGAGCAGAGTTGGTATTTGGAGAACACTGCACGGCGATGTACGGCCCGAGCGGGCGGCGGACGACAACCGATGACTCCGTGGACCTCCCGCGGCGGGTCAGCATTGTTACATTAACGAAGTCATACACCATACAGATATACTAAAAACACATAATTAATTGCAATCAAACAAAAAAACACCTCTAGGTGTTGTGTCCCCACGAAACATTATCTGGCTTGTATTAGCATGTGAAGGTGAGAGCAAACATTTTGTGGATGTATGACACTTTATCCGGCATGATGGGGTCAATGATTGACAGAGCAGCACGAAACTAACGTTTTCAAGTTGTGAGATCTCGTTGATACCAAACCACTGGTGTTTTCGGCTAGGCTCTGTCCTTCTTAGTTTGGAACGGCAGCGGGTGGTTCGTATCGACCTCACCTATCAGACCGAGTTATGAAAAATAGCGAATCAGGGCAAGGGTTACTTAAGCTGTGAGTTGGCGACCAACAAATATCGCTACAAATGGTTGCACACAGAGCTCTGGTACGCAACTTTGTTTGCTTGAGCGCTTTTGTTTAAGGTTGAAGTGGAAAAAACGCCATCTCCTTACGAAAACTTCGAACCCCTGTGCACAGCGCCAGTGAATGGTTATGCGCTCGGCAAACGTATTTACGAGTTGCTGATGAAAGTAAAAAGTTCATTTGCATTTCATAAAAGCTGCGCGAACGGACATTTCTCCTGGGGTTTATTGGCAATAGAGAGATTAATGAAGCTGAGCGCGACTTCCTCAGGCATTGGACGCTGTTCGAAGCTGTGAATGTTTTAGACGGTAACGCGCGGAAGTGTCTTTGGTAGTTTGTGGTCATTGGTACAGCGTAATTACTTCGTTAACTATTTAAGACAAGCAGTCAGTTCCAGTGGGGAACGTCAGTTGGTTATCTGTTGGTCTCGCAAGCAAATTAACTGTCAGCACAAATGAATGGGCGAACCCTGGGTGGGCTTCCGCGATGTTGTACACACAGAAGACTTTTCAGTAATTCGTAGGCTATAATCTAGACATGTACTAAAATTGATGAGAGAGTAAAATACAAGACATTGGACGGAGTCTGACTGAATCCGTTTGTTAAAAAGTAGTCCATTATTTCGCGCGTACTTTTGTACTGCGCGGCTCTGTTGTGCATCAAATATTCTCGTCCATTGGTCTCTAATATACTTCCAGTCCAGATGTTTTAAGGGAGTGCCCCGCCTTTGGGGCATGTTTCCAAAACCAAGCTCAGCTGAAGCGTCAGGTATAGCTAGGTACACTAATAGCACTAAGTAGTGCCACGACAGCTTGATTCAGATGCAATTAAGACATATTAATTTTAGATATTCGATTAGGCATTCCACATATCTATTTTTAATACGCTTTGGGCCGCCGTCAGCTGTTACGGTCTGAGGTACCACTTTTAAGTTGCTTAAACCCTTGCATTTTGGGCCTACAGGCTTAAAAGGGGTATCTCTACTGGTATGTATGACGTCAGCATATACGCATGTTTATGACTGGCACAGCCGGCAGCAAAGGCCGTTTATCGAAAGGGGCATTGTAAAAGTTTGAAACAGTGCGTCGTTATAGGACCGTGTGATACGTCTACTTCCCAAGTCGAATTCCGCTGCGAAAAGAATCGCTATGCTAAGACACATAACTTAGAAATCAAAGCTATATTATGACGTTTCGTTGGACTCGCTTGAAAATGACCTCATATTTGGGTATCTTTTTTCCTACATAGAATGTTTCTTGCTTCCGTTGCATATATTGCAAATGACCTTTGATCATGTAGGGCTTTGTAAGCATTGCAGAGCACACGCGTGTGTGAAAAACACATCAGATATACAGAATCACTTTCGTAATTGATGAGCAGGGTATCCAGCGAGATTAAACCGTTAGACAGCCTTGTATTGAACCAACCGTAGCGGCTGCTCCATATTAAAATTCCGAGCTATTCAGAAGGATTCCAAGAAAATGGCATTACTGATCAAATGGGGCGCGGCTGATCCAACAGTAACCGAAAAGTACAAAAAGGCGGCCTACTCCCTTTAATACGCCAATAACAGGGCTTTCACTCAGCATCGGCCGCCTGGCGGACGGTGCCAGTGCTCCTGTTATCTCGGGATCTACGGGATGGAAACATTGAACAGATAGTCGGTTGCCCTGATCGCTATCATTCTTGAACATTAATTTGTCTTTCGTCATGCTGCTGATAACCTCAAATGTTCCCAAAAAATAAATCATACACCCTCGAGATCATTTGACATCTCCGAAATCCAGGGTCATTGCAAATTGTCGTATGCATATAAAACTAGCACAAAAACGGCCATTTTCTTTAGCGTCGGAGACATGTTATAGCACAAACAGAGGTCGGGTTTAAATAATGCGAGATTATTGGTGTGCTCTTTTTGTTACGGGTTGTTTTATCCGTCGTGAACTGGTCGCTGCTTATTTTGGGGGGAAATGTGTTAGGTGTGCTGACCCAGTCAGAGATCGAGACAAAAAAGCGGGTTGTCGTTATAAGTTGACATGCCTGATGCATGTGGGTCTGCTGACCCAGTCAGAGTGAGCAGAAAAAAAATTATTTCGGGTTTCCGTTATGAGTTGACCTGCCTGGTGTATGATGAGATCAGATAGTAATTTACAACGCGTGTTTTTGTTGTTCATTGGTGTTTTCGGGCGCGTCGACTGCAATGGTCATTTGCGCCCATTACAACGTGTGTTTGCTGGTTATTGGTACGAAGTTGAACAAAGTGCTGCATTACGTCAAAATTGTCCAACTTAAGGAAGGTGGTTTAAGACTACTGCCTCTAGAAGCTGCAACAGATATACACAGGCGTGCAGACAGTTCACAACGATGTCTTATCTCCACGACCTGACCTAGCATTACATTTTGACACAGTGTGTCAACTCATCACTCGGCACATAGTGACACTGCGCCATCCACCACAGCTTCCTGATGTAGCGGTGTCACTACAGGCCTCAGTGGCCGAGTCTTGCCACGGCGGCAAAGCTGACCTGCTGACCTGAGCTGACCTTCGACTGGTGCCTCTAGGGCCTGCCCTCGCGGTACGATGAGCTCGACATGTTCGAGTGCCTGCCGTGCGCCGAGGGGTGCGCCACATGCGAGGACGGCCGGCCCTGCCTGCTCACGCTCAACTGGGCCATGCGCACCAGCATCCTCAGTCTAGCGGCCGTCATCATCGGCATCCTGCCGTTCTTCGTCTTCTTCACCGTCAAGTACGGCGAGATCAAGGTGAGGTCTGGGGTCATGGTGCCCTGCGGTAGGTGAGTCCGATCACGACGGGACCCCAGCCAGCGCTGAAGGCTCGTCAGTACCGCGTTGTCGTGAGCTTTTTGTCCAGGCGGGGTAGGCGTGCTGCACGCACGCCTAGACACGCGGGTGGTAATTCCGAATGTTCCCACGATCCTGTTTTGTACAGACATCTTTTACTGCAGAGAGCTGGTTGGCTGCCCCCCCCCCCCCCCTCCCTACCAGCGTTTCCACTTGGGTGTTGCAACAAGCGGATGTCCGTTCGTCTATAGACCTCGTGGTGCTACCGGGATGAAAACACGAATTAAACTCAATGCTTTCCACTTCTTGAGCTCGACAGTAATCAAACCGGCCGTGACATTCTGAAGAACTATGAAAAGGGTTGTGCATAGGATCTGTATATTCTGTATTCCAAACCTACAAGATTGTCGAATGCGATCTCGGCTTTTTGGATTTGTGAGCTTTCTGCCAAGATTGCTCGCGAATATTTCACGAGTATTGCACGAGCCCCTCGCCACTGCATCGCAACGTGGGTACGCTCTTCCTAGCCTAGATGGGACCCGGCTTCGTTGCACTCATCCCACGAATCCGCGTTCCTTTCGGCCTCCAGCGCGGCCGATAAGGAGCGGGGGGGAGGGGAGGAGGCGCAAGGGCGCGCGCGCTGACGTGGCCGACGACGGACCAATCAGCGGCCATCAGGCTGCGTCGCGGCCGTGCGCCGAAGCATGTATCGCGCAACCTCCAATGTCCCCAATCAATAATGTATCATCACTGTGGGCTCACAGCGAGACCACGGCCGGAGGGTCAAACTGTGTGTGTCAGATAGCACCCGAGGTTGGCACGCAAGTCGTGTGGGACTCTTGCCACAGTCGCCAAAGGGACACACCCGCCGTGCGGGACAATATGCACCAGACACACTCGCCGTGCGAGACAATATGCGCCAGACACATCCTCATTGCGGGACAATATGCGCCAGACACACCCGCCGTGCGGGACAATATGCGCCAGACACATCCGCCGTGCGGGACAATATGCACCAGACACACTCGTCGTGCGGGACAATATGCGCCAGACACATCCGCCGTGCGGGACAATATGCACCAGACACATCCGCATTGCGGGACAATATGCGTGTAAACCTCAAGATCTGACATCTACACACAGCTTGAACGCGTTATCATGATCAGGTCCACAGATGCAAAGCTGTTTTATCACCTCATTTTAGCTATATTTGACCTGACTGGGAATTTCCTATGTTTGGAGTTAAAAGTTTTCGGCCGTGGTTACCGGTCAGGTAATTTTGCATAGCTCATTCCCCAGCGAGAAGCATGCCTCTATCTGCCTGTTGATTTTTTCATAGAATTACATGTGATATATAGTTATACATATACTACATACATATAAATATACATACATATCAATATATATATATATATATATATATATATATATAGAAATGATCCCAAAAAATAAATAAGTAAAGAATGCTCATAGAAAGAAATATGCCTTGCCATATACCCAAAAGAAACAAAAACCCATTTGATCGGTCCATGAGACACTAACGAAATATGTCATATGATCAGTGCATAGAAAAGCATAGAAATATTCCTTGCGATCGGTTCATGGACTAAAAGTACAAAGCTTCCGACAAGTAAACGTGTTAAACTGGCAACCTTTTTGGCAACTGATAACTGGCAAAGTCGTAAAAACCACTTAATTTGAACTCACTAGTTATTTCGTCGGTCACCAAAACGTGCACATTCGGGTTCTTCAACTTTATGACAATCGATTGTACAGAGAGAAGAGGAGAGATAGGGAGAGTTAGATAGAGAGAGAGAGAGGAGAGAGAGAGAGAGAGAGAGAGAGAGAGAGGAGAGAAGAGAGGGAGAGAGAGAGAGGATAAGAGAGAGAGAGAGAGAGAGAGAAGAGAGAGAAAGAGAGGAGAGAGAGAGACGAGAGAAGAGAGAGAGAGGAGAGAGAGAGAGAGAGAGAGAGAGAGAGAGAGAGATCTAACTTAAGAAATCTAATTTTTGGTTGATGAGTCTCGGGGCTAGGGAGGACAACACGGCCTCTTTCCCATTACCCTGTCGGTGGCTGAAGGCCTACTTTCAAGTCAATGTGTGCGTTTGAAAAACTGTATTTGTCAAGAGCATTCTTACATGTCATGTGAAGCATTCACATTAAGTGACATACAAAGCTAGAACAGCTTCAATTCAGCACAGCTTTAATTCAGCACGGCTTTTTCAGCGCAGCTTAAATTCAGCACAGCTCTTATTCAGCACAGCTTTGATTCGGCACAGTTTTAATCCAGCACAGCTTTCATTCCGTACAGTTTTAACTCAGCGCAGCTCTGATTCAGCAACATTCAGCACCACTTCAACAATGAGCGTTAACGGCAGTGTTTCAGCTGCCAGCAGTGATTCAGTGCACTGTGCGAAGTGTATCACGACCGCACAGCAGGCGGAAATCGCGGGTGAAGGGCGTGCGCCGAGAAATGAATCGCTATTCAACAGCACCCCGGCAGAGCCTAACAGGAAATATCCGACCGAAGGGTGGTTGGCCCGGCAGGTGCCTCACGTGTTATATCATTGTGTAACGAACACCTTGTACAAATAAGCTTAACATTTTAAGTATAGAAACTCATGATGTAGCCAAACCAGGAGCTTAACGTCCTTGTTACTTAAATATCAGCCCTCTATATATGACAGCTTTTTATTACATTGCAATACAACCACAGATTAAACGCAGAAGTGGCCATTGATAGCGCCTATTTTGTGTTCACTCATGCCAACACAGCAGCCGCAACGCACTGCGGGTCCTCCCACCGCGTGCTCGAACAGTGACACATTTCTTATCTCGCTTTGCCTGGCTTTGATCCGCGCTTATCGCCTGCTGCAGAGCAATGATTCGCTTCACATGAAATCCTGCCTCACTTCGCTACCTCCTTGGCTAGCTCGAACTTGAACGAGTGGCGTGAAGAGCTGGCGGCTCGAGGAAGTGGGACGGGTGCACCCGGGAAACCCATGTGGGGGAAAGTACCACCTGTAGCGGTGTCGACAGGCTAAGCACGATCCTGAAGTCTCAGTGCATCGGTGGGCCGAATGGCGACGCGTATTTTGCAGCCATTTTCAATGCGACACACCCAAGAAGGAATGCTTGATTGACTATGTAAACCAAAATCTACCAGAGACCAGTTTCTCAAGCGAATATATACATTTGCGCCAAGCAGTAAGATGTGTGTTTATCGTCAGTAAACCACGTTTTACGCCATTTTCACGACACCACCGTCTCCCGTAGTAGACCGCAGGTTTTCGTGGGTATGCACACCTTTGTGATTTCATTCGGCATGGCAGTGCCCACAGAACCGTCCGCAGTGCTCAATACCACAAACATGTGTCTAAGATCCATGACATATTACCAGCAGTTGCCCTGCAAACATGCCGTAATGATTGCTATGTTTTTCGTCTGGTTTAAAACAGGGGCAGCTGCAGTAAACCACGTGTGAAAGGGCATGCGCTACAAATACAGCAATGCCACTTTGACATTTAACATGTAATGCAGATTTGAATATATAAACACTGGAGAGTATGGTCGTCTATGTTCATGAAAACGTGAAGCGGTGGATGTTACACCATCACCATCATTATTTAACAATTAGCATGCTCATCGAATCAAGTCAAGCCTACAATTTAGCACCTCCCCTACCAAGAATGGCGTTTTGAAGTTGGGTGCTCTCAGTGCCGCGCGCATTCGTTCTCAGCAACAAGCGCAGCCTAATGCCCTTTTCGCGCGCAAGACACTGAGGTCTTATTTTGTGAGGAAATCTGGGAGAGCGTGCTGCCAGTACGTCAGAGCTGTCAGCGATGAATTCATCTTGAGCATTGCGCTGGAGACAAGGGATCTTCATCCTCAAAACCCTTAAAGCAATATCCAACGTCCCTCCCGCACCGCCTGAAGTATTCGCCACCCACGACCACCTCAGGTGGCGTTTATTGTAATTAGTAGTTAAATTAATGCCCTGGTATTTCAGAATCCCATATGTCAATTAAAAACACCCATGCAGCAATTGCTAGCCATGTTTCATCTCACTCAGCAATCGTTGGCTTACCTTTTCCACCTGGTCAAGGACGCCAGTGATAACGAGAGGACTTCAGACCATTAAAACATTCAAACAAACGTAGGCCCTCTAGTAGAAGATGCACACCTTGTTGACTGGCACCGAATGCAAGGGCATATTTTTTCATTTCGGAATCTTACTAGTGCCAACAAGATCGGAGGTCAAAGATCTGACAGGTCAGGTCAGGTCGAGTGACGAAATCGGATATTGTGTCTTCTCTTCCAGCTAGCATGATATAAAGAAGAAAACAGTTTGGGACATTGTGAGTCATACTCCCTCATGTATCACAAATGGCTTAAAAATCAGCTGGGTCCAACGCCCACAAACTGACCTCAAGTAAACTCTGATGGCGGCTTTGTTGTGACCTCGTATAGCGCGACTGACCCTGACCGGCAGTGTCGGCCTTATCATCAATGACCTGAAAGCAGTCCAAACAAGAACGGAAACTACAGGCTACTTTATAAGGAGAAAGACCACACGGCTTCTATTCATTGATGGCGTTATGCCTCAGTAACTTGACCTCACTGCGACAAACACCTTCAGATTGAACCAGATTGGTTCCCTCTCAGGTGATGAAAATGAGATTCGCCTACCTAGCACTATTCGGAAGTAATTCCCGCATTCCTTAGTTGTAACGCTCAGGTATTCACGTGTTAAACACGGGTTGCCCCCCCCCCCCCCCCACACACACACATCAGGAAATTAAGCACAATCGCTAGTTCAACCATGTGCAGCATATTGTAGGGGCTGTGCATGTATAGCGGGCTTCTACAGGCATGTCTTTCATTTGGCCCAGTTGCTGCTTATTGTGTATTTTTATAGCGTTGACAAATCACTCATATGAGAAGAAAAGATGCCATATGAA